GTAAATGATGGTGCAGAGTCCCCATACACAGAATCCAACTCATCTTTGATTTGCGTAGGCGTATTGCCTTTCAAAAACAAATATTTAATGACAGCTCGATACTCGATTTTGTCCATTTTCACAAAAACACTCACATCAACTTACTCAAACGACTGTTACATAACAACTGCGAGTCCAAAATGGCTGAAACTTCGGTGAGTAACTGTCAACAGATGAACAACGAAATTCACTAGCTTTTATTTACAAGTGCTGCTATCTTCACGTTGAGGTCGGAAACTTTTCAGACCACCCTCGTATAGCTGGAGAACACTTTTTCATAATAATATGGAGAGAATATTATAGTTTTCTTTTCATATAAATTTTTTTCGATTTTACAATGTTTTCAATAGCCCAGTAATAGACTGTCAGTAAGATCTATTTTGCTAAGGAATGCAAATTTTGTTAGAAACATGGCAAGTGTTTTAATAGCACATTTTAGCTTCTAAGATATAAATAGCATATATGAAATGAGAGGATAGAATGAATTACTGAATGTCGACCTATTTCTTGGTTACAAAATCCTATAGTAATTTTTACTATAAAATTCTTTCCATGTAATGTTAAAGACTCTGGATAGTTTGCAGACATGAATTAAAGAAATTTCTTTGACATTTTTTCACAAAGAGATTATAATTCTTGCATTTTCGAACTTTTCGATTTCGGTTTTATTATGCTTTGAGAAAGTTACATGATTTTTTTTATAATTAAAATTCGCATATTAGTTGAGTAATCCAGCTGACGTACATGATATAGCCGCTTGTAATAATTTGAAACAAAAAAGCAGACAAAATTCTTATTTTACATGAGTTTGTCTATTGTCTGAACTAGGATTATTGAATAAAATCAAAATTTGACCAAATGGCGGGATCAAAAAACAAACTGCGACCCCGTAATTTGCTTTACTTTGTATTACTTACTGATTTGAATGTTAGGCTCGTACACGATGTGATGATCGATGATTCGCCAACATCCTCGCAAGGAAGCGACGGGGATGTCGGCAGATCCTGCGACGGCGTGACCGGCGACTCCGAGGATGAGGAAGTGGTCGTCATCCATCGACACGACAATCAAAGTGGTCATACCACTCCTGATGATAGCGAGGAGTTGGATCATCATTGTTCGATTATTGCTGACAGCGACTTTAGGTTGGTAACATCGTAAGTGTTTATATATTTATTACTGTTAATTATGTCCTTATGTATTTAGATTTGTCGTTTATATTTCCTCGAACATTCCTCTCTCCCCCATGAGCTTTGCAAATACTGTCCAGGTAAAATTGATTTGTATCAAACTTTCTCGCTCTTTCCCTTTTTTTTGTAATATTCGTAATAACATTGTGCACATAATATTTTGACGGCATGCGCGAAAATTTAAAGAAGAGAAGCCAAATAAAGAGAAAATATTGTAGCAAAAATTAAAATTAAACTTTATTTAAAATTATATATATTATTTTTTTACAATATGTCTTTATAAAGCTGAAATATACTGAAATTGCAGTAAAATTTGACGATATATTGAATATACTTTTTAAATTTTTCACGTTGAAATCTTATTTAAAACAAATGAAAAATAACAGCATTTTTTATCTGGAACGATAAACGGTTTCGATTTGTGTTTTTTAGCGTATAATTTCGAGAGATGTTAGAAAATTTTTCAAAATACGAATCGTATTCTCTAAAATATTTGTTTTTTTATATAAACAGAAAAAGTGTTTGGTGATATAAACATAATTGTACAGTGAAAGAAGTATAATCAGCAGAATCATTTTTCTAGTTTTATTAGTATCAGTAATAATAATCTTACATGCGTTTTACCATTATTCTTTTTTTGCTATAATCGCAAAAAGATATAGTTGATGCTGAAAATGATACAATGTTAATGAGATTAACGATTTTGTTGTACAATATTTTCTTCGTACACAAATATCTGTACTAGCAGTTTATTTTAGCAGTAAAAAAATTGGGGAAATATCGTGGAAAGATCTTCGAATTTGTCGTAAAGGGACAGAATTGCGATATATGCGACCGCGAGGAGTCGAAAATTGAATCTCGCGCGAAGTGAATCTTTTCCGCGAAATATTACACGACTAATTAAAGTCGTATTGCAACTGTTGACTTTATTGTACGCTTCTCCGCGTCTGCCCTCCCTCTCGGACGCAGAAGTATTTTAATTCTACAGTGTTACTCGCGACAGGTATCACCTACAGCAGTACTGCACAATCTCATCGCTCTGACCTTGTTAAAAATAACTCGGGCTTCTAGAAATATTCTCCGGGAGAGTCGCGACGCGCAGCTTATCATTATTAATTGCCCGTCGTCGCGACGCAACGAGACACGCGATGCACGCGGACGATGCCCATCCACGAGATGGTCTGGCTCTCCCTAACTCCAGTCTGACATTTTTCTCGCATCATAGGCGCGCTTGCGTGGGCGCCTCTTCTATCTATTTCTACACCATTAACCCCTTGCAACTCAGCGCTCTAGATTCAACGAAATTGCGGCTGCGAATTACACCACCGTGACAATTCAAATTTCTGCAACACGTCGATGAAGAATGACGAGAAGAGCGAGAGAGTTACTTTCTTTTCCTCGGATCTCTTCTACGCTGAGAGAAAGGTGTTCTGTATTTGCAACTATATAGTCACATAGAGAAATAATAATCATAAATTATGGTGTCAAGAAAACTACTTTTTAGATAAAATTCTATTATAACGTTGGTGCTAATAATCTTACATGCATATTATTACTGCCATTTTCGTGTTAGAACGACCAAAAAATATGATTGGAGCCAAAACTATACTGTCAAAATTGATATGTTAAATTTAACATTTCATGTGTCCCAAATCATCCACTCTCATTTATGTGTAAATTTAACACAAAACAAATGTGGTAAAAAGTAACATGCATAATATGTAAAAAATTAACACAAGAATTTAACACTTGAATACTGTCAGGAATTACAGTTTGTATTAAATTGACATGTATGTAATGTTAATTTAACTAAAATAAAACGTTACTTTAACATTTGAGAGAAGTAAATCTATGGTTTTGATGAAATGAAAATGAGAGAGAAGTTAATCTATGGTTTTGATGAAATGAAAATGTTAAATTGATATAATCTATCTGACATATTAAATATATTAACTTAACCCAACCTGTGATTCCTAACGGTGTTCAAATGTTAAGTTCTTGGGTTAATTTTTTCCATATTATGCGTATTACTTTTTAACACATTTGTTTTGCGTTAAATTTACCCACAAATGAGAGTGGATGATTTGGGACACATGAAATGTGTTAAATTTAACACATCTGTTTTTACGGTGTATGGTTGGGGCGAAGAATAATTATAATTTTAATTAGATCGACCATTCCTTTTTCTCTCAGTGCACGTTTCTGTTTCGAATTGAAACGTCAGGCACAGCATGGTGAATGATAGTTTAGCTCACTATACGTTCTACTCTTGGATGACATTAGCTTGTTCGGTGGACTGAGCAGCAGGGGTCGATCGGTTGGCGGCGGCGGACCAGGACCGGGCGGGGGTGGCATTACCGGGTCAGGTAACGGCGGCCGAGACAGCGTCGTCAGCGACGTCGGCGACTCGTGTTCCAGTTTGAGCTCCTGGCCTACGCCGGAGCACGTACCCACGAATCGACCCGGAAGCGGCACCGAGCGTCGGCGTCGAAGATTACCGGAAATTCCTAAAAATAAAAAGTGTAAGGAAGCATGAATGAGTAATTCTCCGCGTAACGACGGCAATAATGACACTCGTTAACACGATACTTCGCCGGCCTCGTATCAGTAAATTACTATAAATTGCCAATTACCGATCGAAAATCAAACAAATTAAAAACGAGTACGAGGGAAAATCCGCAAAAATCGATAACTCTTTTCACCATGGCCACAATAAAAATGGCCGTTAATCAGAAATGTTTTCACCTTTACAGCATTTATCATTGAGTTATTGTAGAACGAGATTTGGGAAAAACAGTATTAAAAAACAGAATTACGTAAGAAATGGCGTAACGATTCGATGCAAATAATAAAAATAAATCAAACATTGAAAAAAGTGAAATTTGATTGATTTCCAATATATAAATATCAAATAATAGTAACATTACGTTTCTCAATGTTATAATTTTGCACTCAACAACATGGTATATAACATTGTATGTGCAACAAATATATTGTTGAATGGTAAGTTATAACATTGATGAAATATTACTATTACTTGATGTTTATTGGGTCCAGTAAGTCGTGGAATTCTTTAGAGTTTGAGAAGATTAAATGTCAATATCGTTTTTATAATTGATGATAATTAAATGAAACATTAAGAAAATATTTAAGATAATGTATCATAAAACGAGTTTTGTGAGAATTTGATGAAATTTGCACTGCAGTATTATCTAACTGTTCATATAATTAGAAAAAGATTGAGTGCTCGAGAACTGAGATATTTGCAACTAATGTTGATGTTTTTTATACATGTCCTTTGAGGCTAGCTAGCTATTTTTAATTTCTATTTTTAATATCTTCTAAGCTATACGTATGAGATTTTGATAAATATCTATAATATTAAGATAGACTAATATATCGACATTATACATTATTTTAGAATTATTGATTATTTTTTTTCAAAATACAAAGATTGGAAATTCATAATTTATAGCAATATTCGAAATACATATACATATCCATATACACATATTGAAATATTTATATATTTTTTTATTATCTGTACATCTCTATTAGATAAACTAAACAATGCATAAACAAAGCATTTACTAGAAAAGTAAAAAAATAATAGTGTTCTTATATTTGTAATAGAATGTATATATATTTATCTCAGTATTGTTTCAAATTAATAGTGATACTTTTAGATAATAAAATAAATGTACAGAAACGTAATATTTTTTTTATAAAAAGTACATTAATGAGTACCATTTGGATGTGCCACTGAAAATACGACACTTGGCGATACAACTATTTTAATAACTTTGCAATTTTCATATGTGCGTACAAAATTTGTGACGCTAACTTAATGCAATCATCTCCGCGTTATATACACAGTATTCGATAGGCGTCGGCTGTATTATTTTCGCCTGCACTTTTTCACGTCACACGTGCGTCATACGTATCAATGAAATCGAGAAACTGACCACGCCGTCAACCGCAGCGAAAGAAAATCCAGATACCTACTTGCTCCACATTAGTTGTATAAGAAGCACAGATCGTGGTGCGGTGTTTTCCATTCGCGGTCATGATGGACCTACTGTTTCGTAGATTAGAACGAATTTATCCAAATAGGATCGCGCAAAAGGTGAACAGAGTGTCCAAGTGAGGTTTATATCTCGTACGCAATGTAGTCGAAAACTTTAAATGAAGTGAGATCAAGAGCTCTAAGATTACACAAATCACGAAACAAAACTCTATTAAGATAGTAAGAGTCAAACTGCAGATGTTATGTGCAAATAAAATATTTTAACAAGTCAGAATTGCCGGGACATTTCAGCCATAATGTGTGATCATGTGCAATTATTGTGACTGAAGATTACCACACATATGATTGAAACGTCCCGTAATTCTTTGTTGTTACTGGCTTGTAATTTATTAAAATATCTCATCCGTACTAACATCCGCAATTTGACTCTCACTGTCCTTATAAATTTTATATATTTTCGTTTTGTGATCATAAAAGCTACAAGCTTACGAATATAGATATCGTTTCCACAACAATAACAGAATTCTTCGTGATAATAATAATATGATCCAAGCAAAAAGAGTACGTTTTAGTTTGATGTGTGAAATACGCATTCATTAAAGTCCCCGTTGTCGTTTCAGCTTTGCCCATGTGCCAGACGTCCATGCAGACGTCGTCCTCGTTGGCAGATGAGTTGAGTGCCGCCACCGGCTCGTCTTCGACCCGGCCTCACCTTGTTCTGAGGAAGTGTCATCCCAGACTTCGCCATGAGGACAGTTCGCCCGACAGCGAGAGAATGGCCACTGATAGTGGTCATTCCACTGCTCACTCCCCTGAGAACGGCCCCAAGAGTGTGTCGCCCATACCTTGCAATACCCTGCAGAACACGGATTCGGCATCGCCCAGCAGCACCCCAGGTAATCACGATCCCCTTCAAGATTACTCTTTTTCGATTTCTTAAGGCTCTTGGTTTTTTGCCGCGGAATTCTTGATGAATGACGTTAGAAGCGAGAAGTGCCATTTTCATATATAAAGTAATTATAGTGAAGATATCATAATAAATATATTATAGAAGGGACACTTGAGGTCGCTTGAGCACACTTGTAAAATGTTTCGGAAACTATCCTTTTCTCTCGTGATGTGCAACTTTTTTGGTAAATATACAGTATAACGCCCCTATTGGATTTTTTTCAAATTTTGTAAATTTGTATATTATCATAAAATATAAAAATAAAAAAATAAGAAAATGAAAAGTGAGTAACAATTTTCGTTTTTAGAAATCAATTCTACGCGTAAAAATATACAAATTTACAAAGTTTGAAAAAAATCCAAAGTGGGAGCGTTATACTGCATATTTACCACTTTTCTTCTATTTTAACCTATATTTCCTCAAGATTATGTCGCCTTAATTTAACAGCTATTTATTGACTGTCAAAGGAAAAGGGTAGTTTCCGGAGTGTTTCACATGTATGCTCAAGCGACTTGAAATATTCTTTCATATAAACATCTTTTTATTTGAATATGACATGCAAGAATTTTCAACGTGTCATTTCTTGACATTTACGATCTAACATGATCGTGGGCGAATACCTACGAGATTTAAGTTAGCACGCAAAAGCTTTATTGTTTTTCTTTATCTCGCAATATCATAGTATGTAATAAAAAATAGTATGTGACAAAGTCTCATTTAAAATTTTATTAATATCGAGCCTTACTTGAAATTGAGTATATATAAAGATAATAATATAAAGATATAAAATATCTTATCATTTATTTTGAAATAGCTTTCCAAGAAATTCCTTTATATTTAATGCAAAATAATTTATCTTTAATGCAAAATAATTTATCGACCCAGATTTTAATTTTAGCAGAGAGAAGGAAAATTATTTAAAATTGCACGAGAAATATTAGTTTTCGCACGGGATACAACCTCTTTACGACGCGTCTCGCGGCTTCTGACGTTCCGTCAGAATTTTCCACGAAGCTCCTCAATAGTCCGGATATTTTATCGTCTTAGTTTGGAAAAGTTTTGAAAGCCGACACTGTTGCCCGTTTCATAAATTGTTTTCGAACGGATCGGAGAATGGCGATCAATACCAGTTCGCTTTTTTCATTTCGAAGGAAGCGGAGGCGTGCCGTTTACCCAACTGGAACTGCTTGAGGCGACGCATCGAGGCTTGCACAAGTTCATACCGCGGCACCATGACGAAATTGATCTTGAAATTGGAGACCCCATATACGTGCAGAAAGAGGCCGACGACCTGTGGTGCGAAGGTTCGTAATGATATCAGTTTCCCGTCCTTCAACGTATCGAAATCGAGCCACCGCGGTAAAATGCTGCACTTCTTCCTTTACTTATCTCACGAAATGAAATCGATGCATTCATAATTCTAACGCCATGATAATTACATCCGGCGAACAATAACTCTACGTTAAATAAAAAGTAGACACGAAGATGTCAAAAATCTCTCATAGATCTTTAAATATTTCTTTGATTTTGTTTGATATTTGTGAATATCGTTAAAATTTTCCGAAACTACTCAAACAGACAGGTGTAGTGAATCTGAAAGCAACTTTACTAGTCGATTATATATGATATTTATCATATGTAATGATAAAATAGAGATACGCGAAAGAAATACGAAAAACATGATGAAAATTTTCTCAAAACAATGTAAAATCTAATGTAATATGAAAATCTGAGAATAAGTTTTAATAAATTTGTAGCTGTATCAATATAATAAGAAATTTAATGACTAATTCAATAGTATGTACTTACTAGATAAATTTAATTTTAAAAAATTGTAGAGTCTCGTATGCCGTTTCTATCGTCGATTGTCTCATGTCGTGATAATCATAAAAGTCAATTTAAAGATAAACAAATATAAACGTAAATTGTGGCAGCAAGAGAGTTTGCTAATTATGTAAAGGTTGCATCCCTTATAACTGATTCATATGACACTCATATTTTTATCACATAAATTAACGAAAAAGAGATAGAGATAGAGAAATACGAAAAGAATGATCAAAAATCAATCGAAAAGTTTGCTCAGAACGATATATCGTGCAAAATATAATATGAAAATCTCAGTGTAACCTCTAACAAATTTGTCGCTGCATCAATGCAACAAAAATTTACATAATGTATGATATAAATTGTATGATATAAATTTAATGATTAATCCACTATAGCGGATTAATTATTTGATTAAGTATTTGCTTCATAAATGTAATTTAAAAAATTGTAACGTTTCCACGACATCGGTAATCATGAAAGTCTATCTGGGTACTTAATAATTAAAACATGTGTAAGATGAGAAAAATCAAAGTAAAGTGAAAAAGAGCGGAGATATTAAGCCCGACATCAACGAAAATGTTCTGTTCTTTGCGGATCAGGTGTCAATCTGAGGACAGGCCGACAGGGCATCTTTCCGTCTGCGTACGCGGTCGATATGGACTACAGTGACTTTGATCCTACCGCGCCTAAGGTGAAGAGAGAGAGATACCTTCTGGGTTACTTGGGCTCGGTGGAGACTCTGGTGTATAAGGGTACAGGAGTGGTTTGCCAAGCGGTACGGAGGATTCTTCGCAACTCCTCGCAGGAACCTCCCATATCGCAGAGTTGTATCCTGGAGGTGTCCGATCAAGGCCTTCGGATGGTCGATAGAAGTAAGCCGCGGGTAAGTGGTCGCGGTATTGACTCAAACGCGACTCGCTGTGCGCGAGAAAATATACAGGGTGTCCCGCCACTACCGCATTATCTATCAAGGGCGGATTCCCATTATCTTTTAAGGGCGGATAATTCGAATAAAAAAATCCTAACGCAAAAATGACGAGGCTATAATACTTTTTAAATTGTAAACGATTAAAATTGACTAATTATATTGGCTAAAGTAGGCGCGAAATTATTAGACAATCTAATATTTCTAGTTATCTCGCAGGGATAATAATATTCAGTTATATTAATGTGAAGTTAGGTTTTAATGAATGAACCGATGTTTTGATTAAAGAATACAGAATTTCTGTGGTTCTTATGAATTAAATTTGTTTTTAAGAATGTGGAATTTTGTTTTTTTTTAAATCAACACACGTTGATTTGCGTTTGTTACAATCCAACTTCGTATTAATATAATCAAACTTTTTTCTATATACATATTTATCAAATTTACGCGTGCTAGCGCGTACAACTTGTTGTAATTAGACGTAATTACAAAAACCGAGAATTACCTGTAATGATATCGATGTGATTTTGCAGAAAAGTCAGGGTCCCTGTCACGACTATTTCTATTCGCTGAAGAATGTATCGTTCTGCGCGTTTCACCCTCGCGATCATCGCTACCTCGGCTTCATCACGAAGCACCCCACTCTGCAAAGATTCGCTTGCCACGTGTTCATCGGTCAGGAATCCACGAGACCTGTCGCCGAAGCCGTCGGGTGAGCACAAATACACACAGAGATGTACACAAACACACACATGATTTTTCTTCTTCTTTTTTGGGTTTCACAGGAGATCTAATTGAAAATCTGTCGTCTTACACGTAGATCTGTTAATTTTACCTTGACGGTAATACGCCTATTTTATGTATTGCATTTATATTACCCAAAAATTGATTGAAAATTGATTAAATTGTAAGTTGTAATTATTGTTTTTGTTTTAGTTTTCATATATAATTTTGAGGGAGCTCTTGAAAGTAAATTAAAATGAAATTTATATCGGTATGACTGCGAGGATGTTACTGTCAGAGTTAAACACTGGATTATTTTATAATTTGATTTGATTTTATTATTTTGTTATTGCTAGTAATAATAAAATAATGTGTGTGTAAAAAAAATATATAATATATAAATATAAAATAAAATTAAAAAATATCTATGTACGCAATGTATTATTGTGTATATGTATGATATTATTATTGAATTACTTATCATATTTATATTATTTTACAATTAAATATTTTTTTTTATTGCGCAAATGTCGCGAGAAGTGCGATACTTGCGATAAGTCATTGGCAACGACTGATTGCCGGTATGTGATGAGCGATAACTCGAGTTTCTCTTTTTCCAGACGCGCTTTTCATCGGTTCTACACGAAATTCATCGAGACTGCTTTCCCGATAGAGGACATCTACATTGAATAAATTGCTCTCGGCCTGACGTATAGTGGCTGCGGAGAAAATGATAAAATCTCACTTCCCCATCCTTCCCCTGTACATATATATTGCCCGCTAGTTGTAGATATAAAATAATAAACGCGAATCAAACACCCAATTTATACATATATTGAACATATGTATATCTATGTGTACTGGGCGTTTTCTCGGGATAAGCGTCACGACGGGACCGATTCTCCGTTAACATTTCGTTCTCTCGTAACTTTCCTTCCGTTCGTCGCTCATCGCCAATTTTGTCCCGACTCATGCGTGCAATCCAGTACGATTCTATGCGATTTTTACGTATTCACCGAAGCGAAATGAGAGGGAATTATAGCAAAATCATCTTGGGTTCTCGTTTTGAATATCGCAAAAATGGCTGAAGCCATTTTTTACATTGAATTCAAGTTTGTTTTAGCTTCTTTTGCGCGTCACATATGATTTCGAAGTTCCTTTAACGTCTGGATAGAACGTAATAGTCGTGCACGAAGAGTTCGTTAAAGACCCCTAATAAGCAGATTTAATAATCGATAGCGAGAACGAGTTAATCCCTAAAACCCCGACTAAGATAATCCACTTAGTGACGTATAGAAAAAAGAAGGAACGACAATAGCGTTGGATCATCGGAGTTTAGCGAAAAAAAGAAGTCATAGCAGAGGTTGAATAATTGTTTTCTTTCTAAGTGGCGCTTAACTTTCAGCTGTTGCGCAACTATGAGATTTCTCCAGTCTAGAACGACAAAAGTCTTGGTTTGATTGTGTGTAAATATAGGTGCAACGTTTGATGGCAAAGTCTAAAATTCATTTGTTCATTTGATATAGCTCGAAAGCTTTACCTGAGTATTTCAGGAAAGTTAATGCAATTAACAAGAGAATATTCTAATTTAAGGCGATATATTGACATTAAAAGATAGTAGAAGTTGACATCAATTGCACGGAGAGAGTATATTATAGTTTTTTTATATAAGTTCTTTCCAATTTTATTATGTTCCCAGTAGTGTAGGGATAGAGTCAGTCATCTTGCTAAGGAACGTAGCAAATTTCTTTAGAAACATAATTTTCTTAACAGCACACTTTACTTCTTGAAGTATAAATACCACATGTGAAATGAAAAGATAATAAATTATTGCAGAATATCGATCCATTTCTCAGTTGCAAAATTCTATATGCATAAGCAATAAACATTCTTGTTTCGAAAATATCTAATTTTATTAAATAATTTTTATTTTTGTTTTTTAAATGCGATTATGTAAACAAATTTTTTTATATCATGTGATTATATAAAACAAAAAAAAAAGTTATCTGCATCAATATATTTTATATAATTCAACGGAAAAAAATCTTATTATTAAAAAATAATTTTTTACATGAATGAAAAGCACAAAGTATTAGATTGAGAATATGATGTTTTTATAAATGTTGGAAGAAGATGTTATATATATTGTCAAAATAATCATATTGTACTTTTTATGAAACTATTATAATATTCAAATAAAATTATTACATTGTTAAAATTCAAGACTTTAAAATTCTTTTAACAAAATTATATATCGCTACTTATATATAAAATATATGATATATATAAATAATTATATATATAATATATAATATATTTATTAATTAAAAAAAATATATATAGTTACTTTAAGTGTATTAGTTTTAAGTGGGTATTCTGATATTTTTCTGTGTAGCGATTTTTACTATAAAAGTCTCTCCGTGTAGAGATAATATCAATTAATGTTAATTATCGCTTTCAGTTTATATATATTTAGAATAACGAAATTCTTTGTTCCCTGTTTCATAATGTAGAATGTAACTCGTTTTCGCTCATAATTTTATTGATGAATTACAACAAAAATGCCGATTTAGATTTGAATAATCTTGAAACGGAAGGATACCTGGATTTACGCAACGGGATACTTTTGTTCTCCTAAGTCGGGAAAATTTCACGCTGCGCGACGCGTTGTCGAGAGACAGGGAGAGAGAGAAAGAGATGTGAAATCTCGCGCGAGAGATCGGATGTGCTTTTGCTGGCAGCAGTCTTCTTCATCGTGTAGCAACGAACACTCATCTAGAACGATATCCAATTGTATTGTTCTTGTATTATTAGGAGACGGCGGCCTGCGCGTTGCCATTTAGAAACGTCGTATATTTTTCTATCTTTCTTTGCGGCAGAGTCACCGATTATAAGTTCCGTTGTGCATAACGATAAGGCTTAAAAAGTTTGTACTCTCGAATCCCCACCCCGAGCGAAAGACGACGCTATCGAAACGCACATTGGCCTCTGTATTCGGAATATCACATTGTGCTGCGTTGCTGCATCGTTCTTTCACCGAACGCTATGAACAGTATGAACCAAATTGCAAGTACTTGCTTTTATATACGGAGATGCGAGATGTCAACTCCAGAATGGAATGGGCCTCTCCGACACCTCGCGATATTCTCGAATTATTATCCATTATTTGTTTAGTTTACATACGGAAAGATTCCTTTAATATATTAAACATGAAGAAAATGAGTAAAATGTAGTAAGCATAAGTGAAAAGTACAAATAGATGAAAAAAAGAAATGAGAAGGAAAGAAAACGCAAAATAGAACTGAAAACTATAACTAAAAACTTCAGCAAACTTTTTCACAATAACAGTTCTAAATGCAGATAAAGACATATGGTAAAAATCAATTATATCGTTAAAAAATTCGCATAAATAATTAAATGATTAATTGGTTTAAATTGACCAGTTTGTCTTTCCACGTAGTAAGGTTTAAAAGGCCTAAAAGGTATATAAAAACTGATTAACTGAAAAATATCAGAGCAATCAACCAAACTTGACTCGTTATCCTACTATATAATTTTTATGAGAATCTTAAACTATTTCTTCGATATTTATATGTACATTGTATTGTCCTGAAAAAAAAAAAAATATATATATATATCGAAATCTAAACAGCGCGACAATTTCTTTTGAAATGTCGTAATACTGAAATCTGAATACGAAGACAATCTCCTGAAATACAATTTTATTGTCGTACTAGGATTGTCTCGTTGTTCAGCCGGATGTATTAGCATGCTCATTTGAGTATAGCAAGAGTGTACTTAAAAGTCGATGTTAATAATACTTACGTGTACACAGAGAAGAAGAAGATTCTTGTTTGGAAAATATTTTTATTTTTAACATGTTAATCGTCAAATGAGATTTATAACATAGCGTTAAACAAGGATAAGTTACTTGCAAAAATATATTTTACATGATTCAACAAAGAGAAATCTGTCCTTATTATTTAAAAATAAATTTTATTAATGGAAAGCACAGAAAAAAAATATCGGATTGAGAGTATGATGTTACCAAATATCGGAAGAAGAAGATATTATCACCAAAATAATCATATTGTATTTCTTATGTGAGATTATTACAAGATTCAAACGAAATTATAACATTGTTGAAACTTAAGACTTTAATATTCTTCTAACAAAATTATATATTGTTATTTATATATGAAACAATGATTTAAGTTAATAAATAAAACAATGATAATTAATTTGAATTAACAAGTGAAATTATAATTTGAAATAATAATTAACAAATAAAATAATAATAAATTTGTTGAAACGATAATTAATTTAAAATAATAATTAGATGAAATTATAATTAATTTAAATTTTACATGGATATTAGTTTTTTTCTGCGTATTTTTTCGGGATGATAGTTTCTCCTCCAAGCAATTTATACTTTGGGAAATTTCAGAATATTGTCTCGCTGTTTAGATGTAATATCTTTTTGGAAAATCACTTCAGTTTCTGAATTTCAAGATTTGAATTTTTCGGGACAAGGCATATTTCACGAAATTATTCTTGCCGAGTTTCCGCGAACTTTCGTGGGGAGGCCAGTGCATTCTAGGGTTGTGGAGATGTATATCGAAATGCAGACCGCTCGTGATGCGCTCGTGCAAAAGCGGTGTTAATCTTTAATCGAAACTTTCATCTTCATTATGGATCAACTTTATTCAGTTCACCCTTTTACACTGCCTTTATCAGGTCATTGCGTATGTAAAGCGCGTGTACGGTGCTCGGAAGCCGATCGAATCGCATCTCTGTGTCTTTGAATCTCTAATATCGAGACGCGGTCTGGCGGATGAATTTTCGATTATATATCTCCGAATCATTTCTAAGATTGCTGGCGAGATTGCTTGAATTATTTAACGAAGTATGACGAAGCAAAGGATGACACTGGGACGACCTCAGATGTACTCTCCATTCATGAGTATGTGATTACCGGAGGAAGACTCGCGTAGATTGCGATTTCGCATCGTTGTGGTAACGTTTCGATATTAGAGTACTGAAACCACGGCGAGACGCGGTGAAATATCACGATCTCGCGTTCGAGACCACTGTGCGCGCGAAAATCTCGTCAATTTGCAGATTTCTCCTCGACAATACGTTTTGTGCGTGGTCTTACTTGGGATTTGGTGCATGTTAGATAAGTACGATTCTCTCATGCGCCTCAATTATACGGTATATTGAATAAAAATTGAGAGACAAATGCTACACTGTGTCGGTGATTACTCATTTTCAAGAGACTTTACATCACGACTCGCATTTTACACGTGCCTTCGACTGGGATCGCCTCGAAACGCCGTGCCTTTCCGATTATTTTCTCATACTGCTGACGACGTCATCTTATACCGCGTGTACTTTATATTTCGACGACACGATCGTTCTTCTCGAATTCTTCACGACACACGAATCACCGAATAGAATAAAGGGGTGCGTGATGCAAACGAAAACGTTTTCTTTCACTGGATATCAAACCGCCACCTCCTCGCCCACTGAACAATCAAGTTAAATTCAGTTAGCACCAACTGACAGTAACAATGTTACAATTTCCCGCTCAACAATGTAAGTGTTTCCTAACTTCAATTTTTGATGAAATTGAGATACTTAATTCGTCTGACTTGCTTCAAGATTCTGCATCGTTGGAGCAGCTTTTAAATATAAATTTGTTTATAAAAAATTAAAAAAATCTTGAAGAATAAACTTCATAATTTAAATCGAAATTTGTAGTTTTACGAAAGTTGTCAGATTTTTTGGCTTTCCTGTAAAATTGGTATTCTGTGAGTTAGGAGGTTTTCTAATTTAGCTGACGATATTTTGCACTTGCATATTGTACACGGAGAAAATATTGTAGCGACAATTACGTTAAGATTATCTTTTATTTTACAATGTTTTTTGTAAAGCTGGGCTACACTGACATTAAATAAAACTTTAGATTTATAAATTATTCTATGCTCTCTGTGCAATCAGTGTATTTTTCACTGAATAATGCAATTTGCAAAAGCAGACATGCCATCGTACGCAAATTGCATGGAAACAGTTAATTCTATCACGAACGCAGAAAGTTAGATTTCCTACAGCATATAATAAATTTGTGTGCTACAGATTTTGCAATAAAATCTTACTTCCACTGGTTAAAATCAGTAAAATGATGAAGCAATAAAGTGAGAGTATTTCTATTAAAAATCAGCAAATATTTATTGCTTATCGGTGAAATACTCCTTTCACTGATTCAATTGGAAATATTTTAAAAGATTGATTTTAACAGAGAGTAGGAATATTAAATTTTATGATTTATGATTTATTGAATATACAATATAAAAAAACATTCAAATAATTATAGCAATTCTGTAATAAATAATCAGATGTGCATAACATTTTTCAACAAGTATATACTAATTTCAATCATAATTTCTAATGGTCCAATATTACACAATTTTTTTGTGATTTTTCCTGCAGTGTTTTCTCCGTGTAAAATGGAAAATTATAACGTTGATGTAACTCCTCTAGTAGCATATGTTGATCTCACGTATTCTGAACGTATGTGGCGTTTTGTAATCGCTTGTAAAATGTCTTAGAAACGTTTCTAAACGATGCGTATTATTTGGGATGTTACTGTTAATTGTTGCTTCTTGGGTACCCGAAAAAAAGTTTAATTATATTTTACGTATATTGACCGATTAATCTTGCGAATTTTTTACATCACAAGCAGAAATCTGAATTGACGATTGTACATGACTGTGTATCCGATATGACGAGTCCTTTGAATCCTTTGATTTTACGCCTGTGTATACTCTTTAAATTTCTTAGAGTAAAATCGCATTCGAAAAATAGAATGATCACTTGAATTTTAGTGAGTTCGTATTTCTAAAGAGTGCATTCTCCACTCTGAATGTTGAATAAATGTTTTCACTCGAAATTGAAGAGTGAATTTAATGTTATTTCAACGACACAGATTTATGTATTCATTCGATTGAAACATTCGCTCGTATAGAATTCGAGTTCACTCTAAGCTTGAGTAAGACATTCACTCTTGTTATTTCGAGTGATAGTATCGTTTTGAAGCAAAAGTTCAGTAAACACCAATTAACAGTAACGTTACATCAATGTTATTGTTAATTTTTCATTTAACGACTGTGTTACGCACGACACATGTTACATCACACATATATAGCTGAGTGGGAAATTATAACATTGATGCAATGTTATTGTTAGTTAATGAGTTTTCATTCCAGGAAATTTAGAGAGTATGCGATCGGTTCTGCAGTTATTTTCCGAGAGTACGTCACTTTTAATAAATAACGACCGACGTTAGTGTCTTGGCATGTAATGATGTATTTTTTTCAGCATCAGATAGATTGTAAGCATTGAAGGCAGAGGGTAAGAAATGAAGAGGGTCCAAATGTAAAGCGAATAAATGACGGTCGATTCCTCCACGACATTCGTGGAATACGTATACATCTGTATGTATGTACGATACGATATTACATATATTTCTTCCAGGCAGTATTATTTACAAAAATGTTCCATCTTCTACGAAATCTTGATAATTCAGTCTTGACACAATAATTATACGTGTACATGATCCCCAAACGTTATATTTTTCATTATCGGTTACATTAAAAATTCAGCTTTTTGTTTTTCGTTTTTCCTTTTTTTTTGCCTACGTATCTTTTTGTTGGTTTTCATAATAGAAGTAGGAAAGAGCGAAAGTGATTCGGACCTTTTACACGATACGTAGGTCATTCCAGTTTGTTCCAGCAACGATATCTCGCTGAATATCGTTTTTACGATTTATTATTCCTGCAGTCGTTAAAATTTGCACCGCTCACCGGGTTCGGAACTGAACGAAATATTCGTCATAATTCTCCGCGACACTGTTCGCGTGCTTTTTACGTTTAGCTCTTCGTCGATTTTTCTCATGCATCTCTGAATTATCGAGAATTCAGGCACTAAATTAAACGTCCGCACTGTCGTAAGCAACTCGATCGTAAACATTTTTATAAATCTCTGCACGATTTCATTCGCAACGGGTGTGTGCCTCCGTCGTGGGAGAAGCGAAGTTTTATGATCGCTATCTTACAATTTCGTGGCAGGAATCGTCCACCTCCAGTGCAAAAGATCCAAAGAAAAACTGAAATATACATTTCGTAGCCGTCGGTCTTTTCGATCCGTATGTATCGTCATCGTTACGCCGTAAGAAATATCGACGTAATAACTGATCAAACATTAAGTGCATCTTCGCGTTGCTTTGACTTTCAACATCTTCATCTTCTGAAAATTCTTGATGATTGTTAAGGCCCGTATTAACACTAGGATACCCGGGAACGACAATCCTCTTTGGATGCCTGAAAGAATCATTTTGACTCTTTGCGCGACACTAATATTTTAAAACTCTCTGTTTCACATTATATGTATCAATGATGACTTATGAACACGCCACGGACATAATTTGCAGAATATAGGCATCTTATCTTGTAATCTTAACAAATTATAACAATTTTTATAATTTTTTCAAACATATAATTTCATACAGTAAGATGCATCAAATTTCTACTTACTGGCCCTCTATAATTAGTACAAGAAGAGATAGAGATTGATGGATACAAAATAAAATATAAACTTAATCGGGATTGAAAAATTGAAACTTCAAATAATAGTTTGCATATTGTTCTTATAGCACTGATAATTAAATAAACAGTTAAAATGACTCTCATGTGTGTATGTGAGATAAATCATAACATAATTAATTATATCATCGATTTTTTCTATTATTTTTCAGTGTGTCCTACTTTAAAAATAATTAAAAATCATCAAAGATTTTTTTTTCTAAATCACAAGAAACAGAAGTAGTGATAACAAGGAGACCTCAAAGGAGCCTTCATTGGACATCCTAGTTTATATAATAGTCATTACTTGAAACTTGTCGCAAGTGAGATACTCAGATTCGAATTCAGAGTTAGACGAAAGTTTTGCAAATAAATCGCGATTACAGAAATAAATAAATATTACGAATATCATAATTCAATTGAGAAATTTGGAAATAAATCTGAATAAAAATCTGAATATCGCATGTAATACAAGTTTCAGGCGGTGTTGAGTATTAATCGATTAAAATTGTTTCTAATTAAAATAATCAGCAAATTAGTAATCAAAATCACAAATTATCGTTATATATGTAATCAGAAATAATTTAATCGACTGATGAAACTAATTATTAGTGCAATCAATCACATTGAAATTCAATTGAGATATCGATTAATTTCATCAATTGATAAATTTATGTGCGATTTTATATGTGACGATGGATTAATCTTGATTACTGATTTGCCGATTATTTTAATCAAAGAAAATTTTAATTAATTATTACCTCACACTGGTTTCAGATAATAATTTAATACGGGCCTCAAACATTCTTAACTTGCACGAAGAAAAAAGTTTAGTTGTAATAAACGAATCAATCCGTTTCGATTACAGAAAAATGGAATTCCTGATTCATAGAGCCAAATTTGAGTCATAAGAACTACAGAAATTCTGTGTTCGAACTAAAACGGCTCATTTATTGAAACTAAATTTCACGTTGATGCAACGAAATTTTTTTACCGGTCTGTGTATTGCCTTAATAATATTGCTACGATGTAAAGAGCCGCCAAATCTCGCGTGCAATCACGAATGCATCATAAGCTCGGGGCGATGTATCACAATCAATACGCGGTGTCCCGAGCGTATTCTCTCGTGCTAAATTAAAAAAACGCATGAAATGAAATCTACGGTCGGTGACAGCAAAACCGCAAAACAACGACGACGACGACGACGACGACAACAACGACTCGGTGGTGGATTTCTGCCAAGATGTGCCGAAACGCGAATTAAATTCGACGTTTCTTTAACAGCTCTATCGGCATTTACATAGCTCTTAAGGGGATAGCGAAGAAACACTGAGATTATACGTTAGAAAAGATCTTCTACAAGCACTTCCGCTCGTACAACAATTATCGGCCGGCTCGTGCACGGATCGTTTCGTTCGATGATTCGAATCGACGGGAGTACCTGTGGCGCGCGAGAGCAAGCTTCCCTTCTACCTTGTTTCGCGCGCATGGGAGGTAAGTATGAAATATCCCCTTTCACCTGTGTGCGATTATTTTACATAAAACAATTCTATTATTATGCGCACAATGTTGCAGCGAGCCATATATGTCATTGTGAGGATTTTACAATTAGCTCTCTCTCTCTTGTCAGTATATGTACGCGCGCGCGTTCAGTACAAATTATTAAATACGTTCCGTACCCTGCCTCGAGATGTGTCCTCATACGAGCTTCGCCGCTAAATTAATACAAAATAAGGAGGTAGAAAAGCACACTTGACTCTCTCAGATGCGATGTATATATAACAACAGTGTGAAAAACATTGCCGACGGGACGCGGAGCGCCCTTCGTCGAATATGTTTTCAAAACGTCTCTTAAAAAAGGAAACACAATAATCAATCGAATTGTACAATTTGGTCTTACGAAGATCCCAAAAACGGCACCGTGCCACTATGCACTTAATATGTATATATTTATATATATATATATTATATATGTGTGTGTATGTATAGGCATATAAGAAGAATGTATACACAACCACGCTCAAATTGCCTTCGTCCCTTGTAGAAAGAAATCGAGAAGCCACTTATGCGCGTGCAATTAGCAGAGTATAAAATATAATAACGTAGTAGTGTTTACAACGGTATAAAGTTAAACCTTATCTTATCGTAATGTAGGGCCGTCTGTCTGTGTTGCATTGGTATTCGCTCACTTTCAATGTCGCATAAATGTTGGGCAATCGTCCGTTGTTGTGCTGTCGCTCAGTTATCTTAAAGTTAAGAGAGAATTCAGAGTAGAGGATTTGTTCTTTCTTTCTCTTTTTTTTGCTTCTTTGTTTTCCTTCAATATCTTTCTCTTCGAGAGTATTCTCCAGAATACTTATGTGATCGTGATCACAGACGAGGATGATGAACTTCTCTGCGCACGCTCAATACGTCCGCTCCAAGAGAAGATCTTTAAAGTGCCTCTACTCCGTTGTTGGAGAAAGAATCCATAAACAACTCTAATACACAGAGTGCCGGGGAAATTTTGTTGCTGACGCTTGGTTGTCTATTTCGAGGGTATGTCGATGACACGACGCTAATGCGGAAATGAAACATTGAAACGCAACCACGTAAGCGCAATTACACGGCAATTAATGACTACGATATTCGAATCATCTCCTGCTTTCCTTCTCTTCTCGCTCTGACGTAGACCTCTCTCTTTGACTGGACGTTTCTCGAAACGCGTGACATACATTTCGTTTATTTAGCACATCAATACCGACGACCAAGCTGAGGCACAGTTACCGTGTTTCCAATGTCATGAAACACACCGGTAAGGACCAACGACAGAACGGAGAGATAGCTCGAGAGAAAGAGAGAGAGGAGGGATGAGGTACACCGAACACAGACAGTTTAGACTTGCTCTTTGTACTATAAGACCGCGAGAAAAATTGGACATCAAGTGTGCGACGTCGAGCCGCCGACATTCAACAAAAACGATAGCCGCTTCTTCTTCAGCCGCGCGCTATCGCGCTGGTTATGCAACATGAGTCTTATTACGTATACAAGTCGGCTAGATACCTCCTCCTGCCGGTGGGTCTTCGCGTAAAAAGTGTAAATTCTTACCGATGACGAGTGATCGCCACGTGAGGATAGCCAAGCTTTCTCACAGAACCGACATGAAACTCGAACACTCCCCCCATCGCCCTGCTTAAAAGATTTGATAGAATTAGATAAGAAAAATTGAATCGTGTTTTTAGTAAAAAATTATAAAATTACATCATGTGTACATTCAGATAAATATTTAATCGTTAAAAGTAACCCTTTTACGAAAGAAATTGATAAGTCTTTTATACGAGCTGCGAAATTTGGGAAATTGAAATTCCCGATAGAAATAATAAGTCTAGACAAATTCGTACAAAAAGAATTACAAGGGAACTATAAAAAATTGTTTGGAGAATATATATATAAAAAAAAGATGATTAAAAACACTATTAAAAAAACTATTTATTCACAGAACATTTTAATGAAATTTGTATATATTTCTATTAATCTCCTTATAGGATTATTTTTTAAGCAGGGGATTATTGTGCAATTTCAACATTACGCTTTATATACCTGGACCGTAACCGAGAGAAGTTATTACCGCTCCACAATCCTGACTCTTCTCACCTGACATCAAAGTCAACGACATTAAAAACGATCCAACGACAATTTTTACAATGGATATAATATGCTTTCTTGTATATGGCATTTATCTGTATGCACGTATATATATATATTGTATATGTGTGTGTGTGTGTTATGTGTATACACATAATTACATCGTATTCTTTATAAGTCACAATGTAATTTCAAGTTTTCACAGATATATGCACGATAATAGCATACAGGAGCATGAAAAACTCATGTGACGTATTAGGTTGATCCAAAATTCCATTTGCTCTTCTACTTTGGTGTATCATCGCTGTAAGAGTCACATAGGAACGTTTTGATCAACGACACACACACACAGACAGATTTTTTTCTTTTGCAGTAACGCCGCGACGCAAGCCACGAGAAATCTGTTCAAAGGATAACCGGCAATTTCAACTTATATTTTGTCAACAGTAAGCGGTACCCGGAGGACCACCATATAGAGTTTTTGCACTCTCAACAGAAATCTGACTGGCCCGCGGCCATCAGTTTGACGGATGCGTATCCCTGGGGATACTCAAACCACTTTGGCTCTCTCTCTCTGATCGACCTAATACTTGAGAAACAACACACGATTGCAGATAACAGATATACGATGTAGACGCTCGACGAGTAACTGCTGCTCGAAAAAAATAATCAGCGACTGACCGGATACTGTCGATCCGAACAACATATCGCATTTTAACATTCTTCTATTTACAGGACCAGCCTTACGTTAATATTATACCTGTACACGCGTAGAATACGAAGTAAACTCGTAGATCTGCCAAATGCCGGTGCTGAATATGTTCACAGTTCCGGTTCACTCACCCTACATAAATATCTCTTACACTTTTAAACACACTTTCTCTCACGATACACGATACGATTTATGTTCACGCGACCATGCTGACCCGCGGCGTCGTAAGTAATCGCTGGAGACACGGTTGACCGACCGTGCAATATTGTGTGTCAATAATTGGCACGTAATAAGTCAGCCGTGCTTAGCTTCCATGACACTATCCGATGCTCATGAATGCGGAGGTCAACTGCTAGCGATGAGGTAAAAATAGCGTTTATTAATATGTATATTCGCGTATAGTAACATCATATTGGATGGATAGTGAGGCCAGTAAGACAGAAAAATTTACACGAGCAGATATTTTGAAGGAACATAGTAAGCGTATACAGTAAAACCTCGTATCTATGAATTGCTCCACTAATCGAGTAATGAATATGATGTAATTTGAGCTAGGCGATTCGTTCTCGTGTAAGAGAAATCTGTTTAAATAAAAACATTAAAGTCCATGAGTGTGTTAAGACTAATCAAGTAACATGTTGTCTGTTTATGTTTGTATAAATATATATATTACTTACACATTTACCCTATATGTATATAGATAATATGTATATATTATTATTATTATTATTACATTTAATATTTCTTTATACTATGTTGCGAAATTAAAATATTCTTAGTGAACCTGCCGTATAATGTAATGAAATTTCAGAGGTTTTTCGTGTCTCCTCGTCCACGTAGTAGGGGAATTGATTAACATAAAAACAAATAAATAAATAAAAATAATAAGTTCATATGTGTTAGACCGATCATGCAATATGTTGCTTCATGCTTGAACATATTATTCTTGTATACTCCGCGCATACACATCAGTTCCTTTTTGTACGTTGCAAAGCTAAAATATTTCCTGAGGTACACTGCCACATTTACATAATAATGCAATAAAAAATTTAGAGCTTTCCTGTCTCTTCTTCCACGCAAGTATACACTAAAAAGTAAAAATAGACCTGAATAAAAAGACGGTAAGATGTGGTGTTAGACCAATCATGTAAAAAATGCTGTTTTTCATTTACATCTGTTAAATATATATTATTATGTACATCTACCCTATATATGTGTGTGTGTATGTATCGTTACATTTAATATTCTTTTGTACGTTGCAAAGTTAAAGTAGTCTCAGAGGTTCTACTGCACCTATATAATAAAATTTAGAGGTTTTTCGTGTCTCTTTGTCCACGCAAGTACGCAATAAAAATTATCCAAGATGCGGCAAGTTACGCCATTCATTACCAATTGTCTTTTTTTTCTCATCGCCAATTTACGATTATGAACAGCGCTTTGAGTATTGTTAAATCTCGACACCGTGAAGAGTCGGTAATTATAATCAATATAGAAGAACGCAGAGACTGGTTTCGTATCCATCCGATACATGCCCAAATCGCAGAGGTAGATTAAGCTCAACCGTGCTTGCGGCGAGCGAGTTAAATCAGTGTAAGGAAAGTGCGTCGCACAGTTGTGCTACGATTAAAATCGAAGATACACTATATACACAAGAGTTTGCTATCGTAAAATTTGAAAACTGCCAACTGTGTAACATTCGATCGCCGCGGAGAACCTATCTAGAGCCATTGTCGTTAGGCGCGAGTCGGGTTTTTCACTGATGCGCGTAATCCCGGCCTAGAATGTGTCCAGTTTCAGCAAGAAAGAATGATGCTACTCTGCCGTAAAAAATTATGTAAAAAGTTCTTGGAAAATTAATAAAGAATATGAGATATATGCCTATATATATACATATATATATGTATGCAAATGTATATAATTATAAAAAGATAAGTGATTTGTATGCCCTTACCCTAAGCCCTTCCTATTTATCTGCCGAAACTTTTGTACCTGCATCAAGACACGCGTTGCTACACCTGCGTCGCGCATGTGCGAGAACCACGACCGGTTTAACAACATTGGCTCGAGCGACGAGTCTTATTCGTAATAACGGACCGTTCACCAACGCCAGCATCTGCACGATCACGTTAGCGAGCAAAGTGCGCGTCCTTTCGCGCGACAATGTGCAACAGAGTCCTTGCTCGTGCGAAGTTGAGAGAGAGAAAAAAAAACAAGGAAAAGAAATAAGAACGCAAGAAAAACAACACTTATACATGTCAATCGCTCGGTTGCTCTGCGCAAGTAATTTTTCTCAACGTCTCAAGTCATTTGCTTCTTCCTCTTCACTTCTGATCGACGGAAAATGCAGGTAGATAAATTATTAGCGTGTCTTACTTAGGCAATGTTCTTCCTGCGCTTTTTTCTTGTGAAGCTGAGCGGTTTCACACGCGGCAACTGCGTTGCTGCAAATTTCCGTTCGTTTACTGCATCGATGGCGACGGCCCCTCCCGCATATTCGTCCCAAGTTTTTCTTTTACGATATCGACAATTCGAAAACGAGGCAGTCTCCCAGGACGCGATGCCGGCAGCGCGAACTGAGGGATATCACGAAAATTGCACCTATGCTGTGACTGCTGCTTCAGTCCATCGAGAGTAGGGCACTCGTCCCTCATGCGGTCCCTCGGAGTAGGATAATTTTTTTTAAAGCTCATTTCTTATCGATTAGCGCGACTCCTGGGAATACCCTATTAAGCTCGCTTTGGATTTCTCAAAAGTGGCTTCGCATCAGATTACTGAAGCGACTGGGTAACTACCCTAATTCTCACATCCCAGTATTGTGGTTCATCTGCATATTATGATGCTCCTGTTGTAAGTTTCTGAGCATTTGCTTCTGCCTGTTGTGCTCAATCTGAAAAAAGAAAGTGGAAGGAGATATACATATATATACATATATATATATATATATATATATATATATATATATATATGTATACATACATATAAATGTGTATATATATATATATATATATATATATATATATAATTAATAATTTCAGCGTGACTCACGATATCTCTTCAATATGCATGTAAATATGTGTACCTGCAACTGCGATAAGTTCTCTCTTTGGGCGCAAAGCGCCGGATTTTCCAGATCGCGTGCTAACACGTTGAGTTCGGATTCACGCACCATCATGCTATTTGCTAGTTGCCGATATGTTCGTCTTATCTTGTCATTGACCTGTTATAAATATATTACATAATGTACATTTCTAGCTCGAAATTTGATGTCAAGTATGTTTGAATTATCGCGGATTACATCTAATCATATTTATTTTTGCACACTTACAGTTTGGCGCTCTTTTCTTTTGTTGAAACCTTCTGAAACGATATGGGGGAAAATGAGTTAATTTAACGAACGCATTGTGCCGAGGATATTCGTAAGTATCAGTTCTAAGATATTTTTCTTACAGTGTAAGACGTCAACTCACTTTCAAAATCCGCCACAGGCCGAAGATTGTCAAATATCTTCATCATAATTTCTGTAAAAACAGAAAAAAGTATAAAGAACGTATAAAGAACGCGTTGTTTTTTAAAAGAATGTTATATGGAAACAATTTTTAGATAAAGCAGCGATAGTTTGACTCTTAGGTCCTTATTTCGAACTCTTTTGTCGATAAAAATGCCTTGTGCTTATAAGCCAGTTAGAAAGCTTATATATACAGAAAAAAAGGAAATAAAATTAAATTGAAGTAAAACGGACATGTGTGTATACGAGATGAATTTTCTCGTTTTTTTTTTGCCTATTCCGTTCAACAGATATGAACGAAATGGGGTATTTCACTTCTTTAGTATATGGGAACGTGATTGCAGTACCTGGATTCGCGTCCAGCTCCGGATTTAGCAGTGTGTCGTCATTCAGATCCTGTAGATCATTGAACTGCTCCTCCTCGGGATTCGTTATGATTAGCGGCGCGACAGGATGGTTATCCACCATTTGTTGATATTCGACCCCGACATCGTGCAGACTCGAGTTAGGTGACTCTGTTGTCATCAGCTGCTGCGAGTTAACCTCGTTGTAGCGATTGAACTCAACCGTGAGCGCCGGATAGCCATTATCGGCCACGTAGGTTGTCCTGCAATTCACATAGGGGGTACTCTGTTGCACGTCGTTGCCATTAGTTGACGCGTATGCGTCGTTGGACCTCTTTTTGTTGCGCATTGTGACGAGGTCCTCTTCACTGCATATCCTCTTTAACGTGCACCGATTGTGCGAGTCGTTCGTAGGCGAGACAACGGAAGTGTCGTTCGCGGCGTCGTCGTAGTACTGCATCTCCCTGGTCTCCAGATAATCGTACACTTCGGCGCCGCGTTCGACCTTGATGTCGCATACGGGGGGCTGTTGCTGGTGCTCGATCCTCTTCTGCGAGCTCAAAACGCTCGCACTCTGAGGCACAGGCAAACGCGGCAAGTGGTTGCGAGGAGTTACGTTGCAAGAGGAGTTTGTACCGGCCTCGCGTGTGGGAAGAATGTTCGACTGTACGAGCATATCGTCGCTTTGTACGTTGGTGTGACTGCTAGATATGGAGTTGATCCTTTCATACATCGCCATAGACTTGCCAGACGAGGGCTTCGCGCTCTCCGAGTCCGACATTTGTTCCCCGTCGCTGGAATTTATATATTTCCCGCTACAGGAGTGCGGATCATCGTTGGATTCTTCCTTTATACTCGGGCTTTGCTTGCCTTTGCCTTGTAAAGCGACATAGTGCTCGATTTTATTGATGCCAATCTTATTGGCTTGCGTGGCGGCGGGTGGCAAGCGAGAGGATATGATAGCAGCTTTGACAAACTGCGTATTTTGCATCGGTGCAGGCGAAAAGCGTTCTTCTGACACGGCCGGCGAGGGTAGATCGCTGACTAGCCGGGTGATGGCGTCTTCGAGCCGCGACGGCTCTTCCAAGCATTTCGCCGGTTTGCAGGAGATCGTGTCCTAATGAACAACCAGGGGGACTTCGTTAATTATTTTGTTCCGGGTCTCATGCGTTAGATTCGTATTAATAATCGTTATTTAAAATTGTCTTCAGATGAAACACTCAGATTTGAATTTAGGGAGAATTTTTCAGTTGAATCATAATGTACAAACGTAATGCACAAACGTAATGTCACATTATAATATAATTTCTAATAAAAAAAAACTCAAATCTAACTCTAAATTCATAACAGAGTATCTCATGTGGGGCAAGTTTCAAGTAACTACTATTAATACGGGTCTAAGTTAAATGGCAAATTCAACGCGATTGTTAGACTTACCAACTCCAGTGGCGAGTTGTCGCTGTCCTGAATCATGAACTTGCTGGTCCCCGCTTCTACAACCGCGGAGAACCTTTGTTTCATCTCCTTTATGAGTTCGATGCCTTCCTCTTCCCTGCGCACAAGATTCCTCAGTTACTATGTGTCACGATATATGCTGCGTTCATGTGTTCATATCAGACACGAAAAGGCATCTTATTTGCCATGAGCCGAAATAAACCGAGATAAGCGGAAAAACAGCGGGATGACATATAAAGACAAAAATTGCTCGAGCGAATATGCATTATGACGTATTCTCTCTGATACATAATCATTAAGAAGCTCGGTCAATGCCACGCAGATTGACGGTTGCGATTATGTAGGGAATGTCAAAGTGGACACGAACTCTCTAAAAGTAGAAATAAATGCAGAATAAATCTTTCTGCAAACTTTCCGTACATTTTTAAGCTTCTAATTTTAGTTGTCAAGATACAACAATGTTCTTTGAGATTGTCCTAAAGCAAACACAAATTTCGGTATAATGTGCAGGATTTTTATATTAAGCAAATATTTACGTTGTCAGCTTGAGATGTCAATGTCGAAAGTTTTTATCGATTTTTTCGTCACATATTGAGTAATACTCCAAAATTCGTTTTTTCATGCAATTTTATTATGTTTGTAATTTTGTGCAACCAATATGACGTAAACTTTGTAAAAAAAATGTCAGTATTTTCTCGATATAGTTTTCAAGTGTATGATCCTCTTAATTCGGAGGAAATTCATTTGCGATTTTAAAAGGAATATATTCGATAGGCATTTGCGTACTGTGGAGAGTACTCGTTAGAAACTCTTGGAGGAAAGTCGATTCCGTTTTCCTTTTTATTTCTTGCTCCATTTAGCGTCTCATATTGAAGTACACATACACACACATACTTGGCGCGAAGTATTGCCGCATCTATTGATTAATCGGTGTGCCACTTGCTTCGCGGCTTATTTTATAGTATCTCGAGGTATACTTACGATATTAAGGTGTTAATGCAGACGAAGGATTCGAATGTTTGCGTATCCTTGTCGTACTCCAAGTAACCATGCGTCCGCAGATAGATAAATTCTCCGGTCTTGGCGAGTAATCTGTAGCAAGATGTACCGCAGGTCACGGCTTGGACGTACACTGCGAATTGTACAGAGAATCGTATCAGTAAAATTTTTATTTTCTCAAAAATAGTGTATTTGGGAGTTTTTAGTATCGCTGATTCCAATTCTGAGCATAGATTTATGAAATTTCGAAGCTCAATATTGACAATATAAATAAATATAAACATATAGATTCATGCAGTCTTTTTTGTTTGGTTTTTTAATGTTTAATGTTTTGTATTTTTTTATTTCTTTGCTTGTTTTATAACTTTTTGATTTTTATATTTTTTAATTTTTTTATAGTTTTCAACATTTATATTCTTTTATACATTTTATGATTTTTTTTTGTTTACTTTTTTCCGTAATTATGATAAAATTTTTTTCAAATGATAATTTTCAAAGCAGAGTTTTATGCATAATGAAGCATTACAATTCCCAGACAGCACCAAATGTTCAGAAAATTTTCTGGGACGTTCTTAGAGTGTATGAATGAACATCCTTAGAACATCCTTAGAACGTTCTTTGAAGATTTCGACGCAGATTTCGACGTGAATCTACATCTAACTCGTTCGCATGTTAAAGGAGCGACATGCATCTTGTTGCCACATTTAAATTGCAATCGGATACGATAACAATATGTAAAGCAATGCAGGTGTTTCTCGCAGTGCCTACACGCTTACATACGTTACACATTAAAACAACAAAATGTCAACGCGATGCGTAATATAACTTCGGTAATATAACGGCCAAAAATGAAGCGCGACATAATATAACTTCGATAATTTAACCGCGTGACGTGCATAAATATACATGACATCGCATTTTAATATAATACCGCGTTATTTGTACGCACGGGATATTACTTGAATAATCTGAATATATATTAACGTACGACGTATCATCTTCGCATCACATCGCGAGATTTAGATTATCGCAAAATGCGATCGCCGTTGTACAGGAGTAGACCCTGACGCGCGCGAGTGCGGTGTTAATTAGTCTCGAACGCAGATCCTTACTTTGCTGTAGGCCAATCATCGTCCATTTATAGTCATCCTTGTGCATGAAGGCGAACGCGCTCAGACCCGACACCTCCTCCGACAAGTATCCGGCAACGACGGATACCCTGTGATCGCAGTAGATGATACGCCCGTCGATCAGATGCCGCGTCACATACTCGTCTTTATTGGCGTCGATTATCGACAATTCGGTGATGGATCGCTTCTTCGGCAGACTCGCTATGCTGGCGAAAACGATGTCGTTGCTGGTGCTCGTCATCTCTGTAAGAGTAATACGTGCAGGAATTAGCAAATAATCGCGTATACGAGGTTGCGCGCATTTGGAAACGATTTTAAGGAAGACTTCTGGTTTGGATAGCCGTAAAACAAGAGGTTTTTACGATCTTTTTTCAAAGAAATAAAGATATTAACCTTTAGATTGCCGAGAGAGCCTTTTGTGGCTCTTGAGTTTGAGTTAAAATACTACTATTTTTACTGGTATTTTAAATACTAAATGTATTAAACATATATGTGTATATGTAGCCTACGCAACCATGTCTCTCCGATGCCCGTTTCGCGCTTCTTCGCGCTTCGTGTTTGTTCGCACTTACGTCGCCGAGAAACATATACACTAACCCATATAGCACAAACCTTCAAAGAACGTTCTAAGGATGTTCTAAGGACATTCATACACTCTAAGAACGTCCCAGAAAATTTTCTGAACATTTGGTGCTGTCTGGGAATTGTAATGCTTCATTATGCATAAAACTCTGCTTTGAAAATTATCATTTGAAAAAAATTTTATCATAATTACGGAAAAAAGTAAACAAAAAAAATCATAAAATGTATAAAAGAATATAAATGTTGAAAACTATAAAAAAATTAAAAAATATAAAAATCAAAAAGTTATAAAACAAGCAAAAAAATAAAAAAATACGAAACATTAAACATTAAAAAACCAAACAAAAAAGACTGCACGAATCTATATGTTTATATTTATTTATATTGTCAATATTGAACTTCGAAATTTCATAAATCTATGTTCAGAATTGGAATCAGCGATACCAAAAACTCCCAAATACACTATTTTTGAGAAAATAAAAATTTTTTATATTTGATCGTGCGTTCCCTGTCGGGAAAGCCACTTTAGTAGCTCTGTACAAATCTCCAAATTCTGCGCCATGTATGTTACTTATACGGAAAAATTTCTTAGAAAAAAAAAAAACACTTTTTTAATGAAAAAATGCCGGCAGGCTAAAAGTTAATAGGGTTTCGACATACTATTTATCATTGTTCTAACAAGGAACCTCACATAGGTGTTTAGCTCCGATTTGGATGAGCTTGAAATATATTGTAATTTAGACTAAAAGAAAAGACACGTATTTTTTTATACGTGCCTAGACGGACTTTTAGGGGGCAAAACCCTTTGAAAAAATTGGTTTTTTTCTTTCATGCATGTTTCGTCAAAAGTATAAGAGATAGAAAAAATTTTTCAAGACAAAAATTAAGTGGTTTTAGGAGTACTTTGCAACGATAAAATCAGATATTTGAAAGTGGTGAGGTGGTGGAGGTATGTTGACAATCATAACATTTTTCAAATATCTGATTATGTCGTTGCAACATACTCATAAAACTACTTAATTTTTGTTTAGAAAAATTTTTTCTCTCTCTTATACTTTTGACGAAACATGCTCCTAAAGAAAAAAACCGATTTTTTTCAAAGGGATATTTCGCCCCTTAAAAGTTCGCCTGGGCACGTATAAAAAAATACGTCTTTTCTTTTGGTTTGAATTACAATATATTTCAAGCTCATCCAAATCGGAGTTAAACACTTATGTAGAGTTCCTTGTAAGTATAAAAGAATTATAAAAAGAAAAAATTTCGTTCAAGTTTTTTTGTGCTGAGCACGGTTCCCGCCGGATGCCCCTAATTAGGTAGTGGACAACATTATAGCACATGTAATAATTTAAAACAAATGGGTAAAAAAAATTAAAAAACTGTGTTAAATTTGCTGGAGAATGAATCTAAATTTTTTAAAAAATTTCCAAAATTAATATTTTTTTAAAAAAAAAAAAAAAAAAAAAAAAAGAAAGAAAGAAAGAGAGAGAGAAAAAATGACTTGTAACTTTGAAGTACCGGTATTTTGCTAAATTTCGACTTTTTGTATATAACAAAAGTTCATCCTCCAGCAAATTTAAAGCAGTAAATTGATAGTTCTTAAATTTTCTTATTCTATTCGCTTCAAATTGTTATACGAGTTGTAATATTGTCTATCAGTTGGAGGCACCCGGCGATTCTGCGCTTGGCATAAAAAATGTGGACGACGAAATTTTGATTTTTTTTAAATAAAAAAATAATTTTATTATATACTTAAAACAATGATAAATAATATGGTCGAAATCCTATATTGATATCTTACTCATTTTTGTTTAAAATTCGTAAAGACATCTTATTTTTCGGCTATCTACATTAAAAAAAAAGAACATTGAATTAGACATTAGAATTAATGTCTATATAGTTTAATAAAAACTAATATGTAGTTATTGCAAATAAAGTTTTAATTGTGATAACTACGAAATAGTTTAAAATAGTTAAAACTGCATACACTACAATTCTGTATATAAATTTCGTTGTTATGATAGTGTTGTCACAATTATATTTTTCTCTGAGCGTATAAATCAGAACTTCTTCTTAAGAGCCACGGCATACTGTAAAAATATCCCGGTGAAAAAGGCGCTGTTTAGCGGTTTTGCGATGCCTGTGTTGACCCCCGAGCAATCTCCTAAACAGCAATTGCTCGCGGAATAATTGCAATTTACGCAAAAATAGAATTTCAACGAATAGCGAAATCATATTTTACCACGCGCGAGAGAGCAGCCTTTGTCCCGGCAAAAATACAATTTCAAATTGGATAATTGAGATGTTTAATGTCAAAGAGCGAGCGGGCGGGCGAGCGAGCCAGCCGGCCAATCAGCAACAGATGTTACTTTCCCATTAAATTTTTGCTGAATCTAGGACATCTTGGGTCATATCAATGGGTTGTAAAGTGATTTAGATTCTCCGTCATAGAAACGTCGGTATTTTGGGTGACGAGTGTTTCTATGTCGATTCGTTTATGAACGAGTCTCTGAACTGTGTACATGCATCTGTGTGTGTGTGTGTATGTGTGTGGTTGCAAACGTATAGTTTAATTTAAAAATCGAAGGCGAGTTAAAGGTTGTATGTTAAGCGCTGCTGATGACTGTGCCTACGTCTCTTCGTCGGCGATGGCGAAGGTCTAAATTTAAATACACGAATGGAGTAAATATTTGCAATACTCGTTTCGAAACCAGCACCACGGGTACCGTAGTTTGTTGTGTGATGAAACAGGAGCATCGATCCGGGAAAACTGAGCGAAGTCTTCTTTTGAGTGGCTTGCCGCGGACCATTCGGCATAGAATGCATAATGGGACGCGAGATTGCTGATCTGCACGAAAGAGACCAGCGTGGTCGCTCGCGATCACGATAGGATTATCTAATTCACGATGAGAACGACTTTGTTGTTAACTACACGCAACATGCTAAGATAGTGGAACTGAAAGATGCATTTGCATAATTATAAATGCATGAATAAAAATCTGATTTTGGCGCAACTAGATTTATGTACGGGGCCAACTATGCTGTGTAATTGTTCGAAATGTGATTGAATTAAACTCTACGAATTAATTTCTACGAACGTTCCAGATATACTCTACGAGCTACGCAACCTGGTCCAGCAGGTCTGTTTCTCGCGCACGCGCAGGATAAATCCCGGTTATTTAGGGCAATATGTTTATTACGTTATTTGTGTTTAAATAATATAACTCTGAAAAATCCACACACATATTTGATTGAATTAAATGTTATGAATTTTTCTATAAGTTTGCTTGGGAGTACGTTTATTATGTTTATATAGCGTAATTGAAAAATCCATTTGCGTAACTATTCGAATTGTAACTGAGTTAAATGTCACGAATTTTCTAGCTGCAAGTTCACATACGAATATATTTATTTCTTTTTAAAATTTATAATTAATTCTTCATAATTTACAGCAATTCTTTCAACTTATTAACACTCATTCTATTTTTCCATGAAAGACATTTCAATGATACCACACAGACAAGGTATAATTAAGATAAAATATCGCTTTAACTGCCAGTGGATCGAATAAAAAAAAAAATATAATAAAATCCGAGTGATCATTTTTGCCGTGTCGAGTGAGTGAGAGAGGAGAAAAGAAGCATAGTTGGCACAGTATAGCTAGATTTTATCTCTCTTTCTACCTGAAAAATTAAATTAGATTTATTTAATTGACGGAATGAGATTTAAGAGTGCCACGAGAATCAAGGACAGACTGACGAAGAAGGAATGCAGACTATGTTCACGCGTTCGGTTCTTATTTAACCGACAACGGATATAGACATCGGGATAGAGTGAGCCCTGATTGGAATATATTGCAGAAAACGGGACAGAGAAGCAGATAAAATGATAAGGTAGTACGAGAAGTTAAAAAAAACATTACCGTCGCTCGATAAACAAGAAGTTCTCAGTCAGTTACAACAATAACAGGCATCAAAGTAAGACTTTTCGCGATTTACCTCGATGTCTCCCCTTGTTTCCATTAGACTCGGCGTTTCGGCAGGCCTCCGCGAGCCGGAGAATTCCCGAAATATCGAGACATTCGTATTGCGTGTTCTCGCGCCTGGAGACAGTGCGCTGCGACATGCGGATCTTGAAGTTCCGCCTCTGCTCGCGGAAGAGTTTGACCTTCTCCGATCTTTGGCTGGTCGAGTCCTCCGAGGAGCTGGAGCTGTTCTCGCTCGCCGAGTCGGACATCTGGATGACGCCCGTTGGCGACGGCGCCGTCGTCACCTGCATATCGTCGGGCCTGATGTTTCGCGTGAGCTCCTCATGATCCTCAGGATGGACGAAATTGTACAGGGACTGACCCAGCAACTCGTTCTGTAACAACGCGACGGTTCTGAATTCATTTTCGGCCCTGATTTCAAAGCTCAGACGAAGCTGGGTCTCGTTGGCTCGGCCGTTGGCGATGTCCCTTGCGAGTCATGTTTTTTTATCAACGTCGCTACGGAAATAAATTTGATGTCTTACCGAATATGCGGTATAAAAAAAAAACATTCAACACAAGTAATCACAATAATTTTGTAGTAAAAAGTCAAACGTAAATACAGTAAGACAAACACTTTCAAACAAGTTTGTATACTGAGAGAAATTATCCGATAAAAAATTAACAAACGGATATTTCCGATCAAATTCCGGTCAATTTTTATGTCCGATTAAATTTTACTGGATATTTCCGATCATGACACCTCATCAGAAAAAATTTACGAACCGATATTTCTCATCGGATGTTTCCTGATTGGATACAAAAATTTATCAGTATTTTGATAAATATCCGTTTGTTAATTTTTTATCGGATAATTTCTCTCAGTGTAATAATTTCGCTCATAATTTCGATATGGTCCGAATTAAAAAAGAAAATTGTTACAATTTTTACTACTACCACTTTCTTCCATGTACGATAAGAGAAATTAATTCCTCGGGAGTTTTCGCTTTGGTTAACCGATTCGTTTGATGCAATTTCGCTCGTTTAAGTCGGCTTTAATTTAAAACTGGGTAATTAATGGGACGTCTTGGAGTTAGAACCTTGGAGTCTAATATTATTCGGATCATTGGAGAGCGGAGAGAATAGGACGCCATTAGATATAGTACATACAGGTGCAGCATTTTTATCTTCTCATTAGATGACACTTGATAATCGTTGTTTCACGAAACACATGAAAGCACTCACCTTAATCTATTTTCCAAATGATTGATCAATTTAACTGTTAATCTCGATAATTTCCCCCGAGATTACCAGGCGTTGCCGCAAAGATCCGCGTGCATTTATATCTTACACGAAACAAAAAAAAAAAAAAGAAAAACAAATATCGTATTCCGCAGAACGGAAATCCTTTACTCATAATTCCGTTACTCTCCAAAGTTATCAGTCCCGGAAATGACGTCCCCGCTATATCGCGATTCTCGCGAGACAAACAGGATACTATTGCCGCGCGCGAGGACCTTTATCTGAAAATTAAATCGATTCGTCTGTGCTCCGGCAATTTGCCGCACACGTTCGTTCTCCGTATGAAGATACTCGAAAGTTTCGTGCGCGAACTTCTCGAGCTCCTTAAGGACCACCACTTTGCGAGGTCCAATGATACCGTCTTCCGCGACACGATACGCGTACGTAGATGTTGACGACGGCGACAACCACGACACGGTGCACCACGTCGGCGACGGAGCTCGTTTTCCCCGCGGAGATATTCTCCTTGAGAACAATACAGTCTGATTGTGAGTGCCTTCTTAAAAAACGAGAGCAAACCCGCGCTCCCGCAAACAACTCTCACCACGTCTGCCCTCCTTCATCCTTCACCTCATCGCCTTTCCTCTTCCTCCTCCACCGTCTTTTTCTCCTTCTCTTCTTCTCTCTTTATGTCTTCGTCTCTTTTTCTCCACCACCGTTCATTCCAGCATCCCTTATGTGTATCAGCCGAAAGAGAAAGAGGGAGAATAGCTCGGCTCTGAGAGTAGAGCCCGTTCGTTACAGCAGAGTGGCGAATTATCGTTACGCCTGAATCTGGAGCGTCAACGGCGAACGCGGAAAAAAGAGAGAGAAAGAAAGAGAGAAGAGGGAGAGAGGAGGGAAGAGAGAGAGAAAGAGCGAGAGAGAGAGAGAGAGAGAGAGAGAGAGAGAGAGAGAGAGAGAGAGAGAGAGAGAGAGAG